AACTAATCATTGCAGCTCTAGTGGTTAGCCCATAAGGATAATGTGAAACATCCATGACAAATATATTGTCCTGCAGTTTTTCAGAGGATGAGCATTTGTGAAAAGCTAGAAATTGATAGAGCACAGTAGGAAAAAGTTGAAAATACTGTAGCCTTCATGTCACTGACGTCTATAATGCTGATAAACTGTTTGAGAAAATCTTTGCTTTACATACTGTAGTTATGGAATGTGACCAAACCCAAGTGACACCCATGGTTTTGTTGCTTCAAAACCAAGTAACAAACAGTTAAGCCAGATATATATCACTTCACTTGGAGGGAAAACTGAAAGTGGGCACACCCAAAACCTGTCTGTCTGTGTCACTGTGTTATCTTGTTAAATACGATGTTGTTATTGCAGATAGGAGTGAAGGCCAAAATGTGATTAAGTTGTAATGAATCAGAATTACCCTTTAAAGACTAAGTTATTGTGAGCCAGTTCTCTGATATAATCATTCACCATGAAAGTGAAGTTATTTGCAACAACAATGGGACTGTCACATGGGTCTAGTGCTGTTGTTGCCTCCTGTTGCAGAGGTGCCTGTTTTCCCCTCGGACAGCCTCCCTCCCCCTCCCTCCAGCCCCCCGCCCCCGTCACGTGCTCCTCGCTCTCTGGATGGAGTATGAGCGGGGCTACTTCAAACCACGTGCTCTATGCCATCCTGCCCCCTCCCTCCGCCTGTCCTCACCACCACTCTTCTGCTTCTGCTATCAGCCTATTCCCTTTGTCCAGCCCATCTTGCTCTGGCTGTGTGAGGTTACTCCAAGCCTTCTGGACGACATGTGATCAGTCTGCTGGAGTACCAACGAACTCCAGGCACAGTGTTTTCTGGAGGGGGGGGCGGGTGGGGGGTGAGAGAAAGAGGGGAAACAAAGAAAACAATTGACACAACCAGCCAACTTCATGACCATTCTGTTCGACGTTGGAAACGCTGATTAAGACATAACAGAATGAGGACTGGAAATTGACAGTATGTCAAGACAGTATGTGAGTTCCCTCGGCCTTTAGAAGCTGCGCACCTGTTGGAGTTGACAAGATGCAACCCACTTTTACAACTTAACAAACTGTTCAGTTTGCATTTAAAACAGTTTTCCTAATTAACGTTTGTTATTTTTGGCGTAAAAAAAATATAAGAAACTGGCTTAAAACCAACTATTGGTTCTTTGATAAAGAAATGCGAAAGTTCAAAACATGTAGAGTGTGAGAAGTTAATTCAACCCCAGGGTGCATTTTTGGGAGAAATGTAGTGAAACTCGCGAGCGCTGAAATTCACGCTGAATGTGTTTGTAATGCAGTCAGGGCTAACAGATAATGGTCGCTGTGAAAACTGTGCAACGGCCAAACGCATCCCTA